AAGTGGCTTCGTGAATCTGATAAACAGTTGTTGTAACTCTGCAGGTTCATCGAGGCTCTGAGAGCTCGGATGAAGGAGCGAGTGTCTCAGGAGAAGCTGGAGCCTCCTCCTCCTCTCTGCTGCTGCGCATCATCTTTCTGGGACTCCAGAATCATAACGCTTAAAATCACAAGGGAGTACAAGTAGAAATAAAACGTTGAGTTCAAAGGTACTGCAATAAAAAAGATGAACAGGGCTAAGGTGAATGCTCAGTTCTGATTGGTCATTTGGACCTTCTGCAGCAATAAGACCAAAGTCTAAGGATAGTGAGAGCTGTAAAGCTTCAATGAATATAAGCTCATCGAAACACACATTTTACTTTAATGTCATGAAGAAGCTTAATCTTAAAATAGTGTTCAATATCATGTGGTATGATCCTTAATACCAATGAAAGGGTGAAGATATGATCAAATGAATAAATGAGAGTAAAAAAGTGTCAGGAAGAAAAACAAAAACACTTGAGTTGATGGAATTGATGTAGATATTAGGATTATTATTTATACATTTACTGTGATAAATGTTGAAAAATAAATATGAATGAGTTTGCTCATGTTTTGAAGAAATATTCCCCAAAATGAATTGAACATACATTTAGCCATTTTGAATTTTATTGACAGAGAAAACACGATAAACAAATAAAAACTGAACAGCAGCTGTGGTTCCTAACAACTCACATTGAGAGAGTATCTTTACTCCAACTGGATGATATGAACACAGAGAGACAGACGTGTTGGGCAGAACATGTTTCCTGTTTGTGACAGAAAAATAAAACCATGTGAAACTGGTTTAGTGTCACTCAGCCTGTTGAAATGTTGAGTCCTCACTGGAGGACAAAGGCACGATCCTCTCCTTTTCTGTTGGCATTTTATGAGCTTTTTAATAATTGACTAAGTGGATAAAGCATAAAGGAGCAGTTTGTTTATTGAGCGTCCATAGACTAAGTCTGACTCCCTGCAGGGGCCGGAGTTTGAAACCCTGACAAAAAAAGTCTGTCTGCTGCAAGTTGCCCCCTCCTCCCCTTCTTTCATTAAATAAATGCAAAAAGCATGAAATAAATGATCTTTACATATTCCTTATTAATTATTTATCTTTTGAGTACGTCCTCCAACGGATAAACAAGTCATAAAGATGTCAGGATAAAGTATAAGTTGAGGGGGTTTGCAATGGAAAACAATGAACGTAACAAGACACCTTAAAACGTGACTGTGCTCTCTTCCCAGACTGTTTGTTTGTGTGACTCTAAACATAAATACTGTACAGTGGGGCAAACAAGTATTTAGTCAGCCAACCAATTGTGCAAGTTCTCCACTTAAAAAGATGAGAGGCCTGTAATTTTCATCCTAGGTATACCTCAACTATGAGAGACAGAATGAGAAAAAAAAAATCCAGAAAATCACATTTTCTGTAAGTCTTCACAAGGTTTTCACACACTGTTGCTGGTATTTTGGCCCATTCCTCCATGCAGATCTCCTCTAGAGCAGTGAATGTTTTGGGGCTGTCACTGGGCAACACGGACTTTCAACTCCCTCCAAAGATTTTCTATGGGGTTGAGATCTGGAGACTGCCTAGGCCACTCCAGGACCTTGAAATGCTTCTTACGAAGCCACTCCTTCGTTGCCGCCGGGCGGTGTGTTTGGGATCATTGTCATGCTGAAAGACCCAGCCACGTTTCATCTTCAATGCCCTTGCTGATGGAAGTGAGGTTGTCACTCAAAATCTCACAATACATGGCCCCATTCATTCTTTCCTTTACACGGATCAGTCGTCCTGGTCCCATTTGCAGAAAAACAGCCCCAAAGCATGATGTTTCCACCCCCATGTTTCACAGTAGTTATGGTGTTCTTTGGATGCAACTCAGCATTCTTTCTCCTCCAAACACGTCTAGTTTGAGTTTTTACCAAAAAGTTCTATTTTGGTTTCATCTGACCATATGACATTCTCCCAATCCTCTTCTGGATCATCTAAATGCTCTCTAGCAAACTTCAGACGGGGCCTGGACATGTACTGGCTTAAGCAGGGGGACACGTCTTGGCACTGCAGATTTGAGTCCCTGGCGGCGTAGTGTGTTACTGATGGTAGCCTTTGTTACTTTGATCCCAGCTCTCTGCAGGTCATTGACTAGGTCCCCCCGTGTGGTTTTTGGATGTTTGCTCACCGTTCTTGTGATCATTTTGACCCCACGGGGTGAGATTATGCGTGGAGCCCCAGATTCGAGGGAGATTATCAGTGGTTTGTATGTCTTCCATTTTCTAATAATTGCTCCCACAGTTGATTTTCTTCACACCCAGCTGCTTACCTATTGCAGATTCAGTCTTCCCAGCCTGGTGCACGTCTACAATTTGTTTCTGGTGTCCTTTGACAGCTCTTTGGTCTTGGCCATTAGTGGAGTTTGGAGTGTGACTGTTTGAGGTTGTGGACAGGTGTATTTATACTGATAACAAGTTCAAACAGGTGCCATTAATACAGTTAACGAGTGGAGGACAGAGGAGGCTCTTAAAGAAGAAGGTTTGGTTACAGGTTTGTGAGAGCCAGAAATCTTGTTTGTTTGTAGGTGACCCAAATACTATTTTACCGAGGAATTTACCAATGAATTCATTAAAAAATCCTACAATGTGATTTCCTGGATTCTTTCCCCCCATTCTGTCTCTCATAGTTGAAGTGTACCTAGGATGAAAATTAACAGGCCTCATCTTTTTAAGTGGGAGAACTTGCACAATGGTGGCTGACTAAATACTTTTTTGCCCCACTGTATACTCCAACCCTTATGAAGAATCATAATGCTTAAAATCACAAGGGAGTAGGAATTAAAACGTTGAGTTCAAATGTACTGCAATAAAAAAGATGAACAGGCCTAAGATGAATGCTCAATTCTGATTGGTCATTTGGACCAAAGTCTAAAGATAGTGAGAGCTGTAAAGCTTCAATTAATAAAAGCTCATCGAAACACACATTTGACTTTAATGTCATGAAGGTGCTTAATTCAATTCAATCTTTATTCAGACTCATGGTCCATATCACATACAAAATGACAAAATACACAACAATAAATAAGATTAAAAAGCCAAACAAAAATGAAAAACATGAAATCAGTCCAATGACAGCTCGCCACACATGCTCACTGTCTGTAGAGGCTGTTGCGCTAATGTCTCCAAATCATGGAAGAGAACCGAGTAGAACTCTTCACAGGTTTAACTAAATCGAGGATAACATGATTGTCAGTCTGCTAGGCGACACATGAATTTGTACATTACTTTTCTTAAAAGGGCTTTGACAGGTCGGTACCCCCCAAGTTAACAAACAGCTGGCTGCCACTGTGCCATCTTGGTACCCTCAGCAGCCAACGTAAAGCATCATTGTATGCAACTTTTAGTTTGTGTATCCTCTAGCCTTGTAGTTACTCCACAGGTGAGCCGTGCTACAATGGTGTACAGAAAGCTTTAAAAAGTGATACCTTGACATCTACAGAGCACTTTGTAGATGAATATGTTTGCCTGGGCATACCGTTTGCAGCGTTGTCTATGGATGTCTTTGTCATCTGTGAGACCATCAGAGATATAATGACCAAGGTACTTAATCTCACTGCACACAAGAAGAATGTTGCTACTGAGAATACAATTAGGAAAACCTTTTTATCCTCTTCGCACAATCCTGATGCTACTCTTCTTGGCGTTATACTTAATATTAAAATCAATGACACTACTGGGAACAAATCCTCAGAAGCTGCCTGTAAGCCCTGCACTGCACGGGGAAAATGATGATTAAATCATCTGTGTACACAAGGTGGTTGACAACAGTAACACCGATGACACCAGACAGTTTTACACAAGTTCAGTTTCCTACACAGATCATCCATGTACAGATTAAACAACAAAGGAGAATCAAATCCCACCTTGCTTGACCCCATTACCAACATAAACATTTTCAGACACAGTATTGCCCCCACTTCACCTGCATAGTCCGAGGTGCATACCAGAAGGCTAAGATCCTTATTATGTAGTTGAAACATGGTGGAATTTTGCTTCTATATTTTTGCTATAATGTCTTTTAAAGCAAAAATACACACATCATGCCGTGTTTTCTGTTAAAACCAAACTGGTTGTCAGCTGTGGTAATATACCTTTCCAGCCTATCCAACAGAATTCTCTCCAGCATTTGGAGCGAATGCTAGCTAAAGCAATAGGTGTCAGGTTTGGGGGAAATAGGACCCAAGTGCATTTTAAAGGACTAAAAAGGGTAAGGTGACGCAAAGCGATAGGTCTGTAATTATCAATGCCATTAATCTTCCCAGCTTTCTCCTTGATGACTGGCACAAGTAGCACAGATAACATGGAAACTGGTAAGACACCATGATTAAGGAAACCAGTAAGACCACAGAGCAACAAGAGGAGCAAGCTTAGACTGGCATATTTGAAGTGTTCGGCTGAGATGAGATCCGGGCCACAAGCTTTGTTATTTTCTAGATTCATTATAGTGTTGAAGACTTCCCTGATCTAACTGTCACCTTTTCAGTGGAGGTCAACCTTTTCAACCACAAATGCATCACTCTTTAACACAGTTGAACAACTCATGATAGTGTTGTCGCCACAGTTCTGCGATGCCTGCCTGACCCACACACTCCTTCAATGGAAGACGGTGAGGGAGTCTTACAGCTGTTTATGACTTTGACCTCTTTCCAGAAATCATAGCAACTGTTTGTTGCGCAGCTTTCTGGCAAGTGAGTCAGCCCTCACTGTTGTCCTCATTTTTTTTTAATGAATACTTATTTTTGGCCATTACTGGCCTGTTTATGTTCAATGCTTAATCTTAAAATAGTGTTAAATATGTGAAATGTACATTTCCAACAATCTTCCTTGCCTGTCAGTGTTTAAGATTGAACACCGGTCAGATGATCACAAAGAGGAAACAAATAGGGTTAAAACATGTTTGAGTCAGAACTGACAGTTCCGAAGTTCATCTTTCCGATATATCTGCTGGTAATAAAAACAGATGACTGCATTTATAACTATCAATGATTAACTAGTGAAAGAGATTAGAGGATTGAAAGCTCATTCTGACATTGTTGAAGAGAGCCTCGACACCAGTACACTGCGGGAGATCTCATCGACATTTAGAGGCAAACCGAGGGGAAGAAAAAGTTGGTGAGTGATAATTTTGAAACACCAAAGGATAGCTGCTCTTTTTCCTGAGCTGCCATGTGTGTTCAGAGACTTTCAGAGATCCTGTGTCTCTGAGCTGCAACCACAGCTTCTGTTCGAGCTGCCGGCCAGAAACTCTGGGAACAAAGTAAGAAACAAAAACAGTTCTTCAACTTTTATATATTAGCATTTCCTTTCTTTCCTATGTTGTTGTTTTTTTCATGGAATTAAATCTTATGTGTTTTTCTTCCAACAGATACCTGGACAAAGTCCTGTCCTGAACTGAATACCAAAGTTAATTTCCCTCTGAAAGACATCCTGACTCCATCTGCTGGTGAATACATGACATAGCAGCATTTCCTGCTGTTGATCAATCATCCTGTGACAGAGGTGAGAGAAAAACAAAGAGGATTTTGACATTGTTGAAAAGAGCGGGGACGCCATTACAGGGTGTGAGATCTCTGCTGGGAGACACGTTTGGAGGATCTGAAACACTCAAGAGAAAGGACATACCTTAGTGAGTTTTGCTTTTATAAGACAACAGAGACCGAGACAAATGGCTGAGAAAAAACCCTCTTTTGAAAGTTACCTGAGCTGCCATGTGTGTTCAGAGACTTTCAGAGATCCTGTGTCTCTGAGCTGCAGCCACAGCTTCTGTTCGAGCTGCCTGCAGACATTCTGGGAACAAAGTAAGAACAGAAACTGTCCCATTTGTAAAAGAAAGTCCTCAAAAGAAGAACCGTGGGCAAATTTTACACTAAAGGAGCTGGCTGACTCCTTTGCTGAGAGACCGAAAGCTGGATCATCTGAGACAGAAAAAGGAGAGAAGAAGGTGGAGGTGGTGTGTAGTAAACACCAAGAAGAGCCTACATTGTTCAGTAAGGATGAAGAGAGAGCTCTGTGTCCTGTCTGTGACTTTTCTCTCCACCAGAGTCACGAGGTGGTTCCTGTAGAACAAGCAGTCAGTGAGCTGAAGGACCTGCTGAAATCTGACTTAGAGTCTCTGCAGGACAAGAGGGACACATACAAAGGAGTGGAGACAACATACAATGAAGTGATTCAAGTGTCCAAGAAGCAGCTGCTGTCCACAGAGAGGCAGATCAGAGCAGAGTTCATCAAGCTCCATCAGTTCCTGAAAGAGGAAGAGGAGACCAGACTGGCAGCTCTGAGGGAGGAAGAGGAGCAGAAGGGGAAGACTATCAGCAGAGAGATGAAGAGCATTCAGGAGCACATCTCCTCTCTGTCACACAGTATCTCTGCTGTTGAAGAAGAGCTGCAGAAACACAACGGGCCCTTCCTCAGCAGTTATAAAGCCACTCAGAGCAGAGCCAGAGTCCAGAGCTCACTGTCAGACCCACAGCTGCTGCTCTCAGGAGCGCTGATAGATGTGGCCAAACACCTGGGCAACCTGTCCTTCAGAGTCTGGGAGAAGATGAAGGACCAGGTCCACTTCAGTCCTGTCATTCTGGACCCAAACACTGCAAGCAGCTGGCTCTCTCTGTCTGACGATCTGACCAGTGTGAGACGTGGAGACAAAGATCAGCAGCTTCCTGATAATCCAGAGAGATACACTCACTATGCTAGTGTTCTGGGCTCTGAGGGCTTCAGCTTAGGGAGACACAGCTGGGAGGTGGAGGTGGGAGATTATCCTGACTGGTATATAGGTTTGACTAAAGAGTCAGTTGACAGGAAGGGTGAGGTATTTGCCTCACCAAAATTTGGAATCTGGTGTTTAGCACATCGCAGTGGAAAATACACTACTGGTGCTGGTAAGACTCTCAGAGTGAAGAAGAATCTCCAGAGGATCAGAGTCCAGCTGGACTATGGGGAGGTGTCCTTCTACGACCCTGAAGGCATGACTCCCATCTACACTCACAGAGACACTTTCACTGAGAAACTCTTCCCATATTTCAGTATTGGAACAGCTGGTGATGCTAAAACTGCTGATATCAAAATCTGTCAAACTAAGATTCCTCTGTGATGCTCAGGAGTGTTAGTTCAGACTTTATTCTGACTTCACTGTCCGTCTAGATCTCTTTGAAATAATCAAGATAAGAAACAGATGATCATCAGATCATAATTTTAGCCTGTAAGATTTCTAAATGTTCTGAAAATGTGATCATGTTTTATTTACAGCTTTCCCAAAGTCCCAGTGTAAAAAAAACATTGTTTTTAGTTATAGTTAATATTTGGTAATAGTTGTTCATAGGCTGTGTGTCGTGTTCATGTAACTCACTGACATTTTTTTTTTTATCTTAATCTAAAAATAATTGTTGACACATGGAAGAGGAATGTTTACATTTTTTAACCAACATCTTTAAATCAATTAACAGATCTTCTGTTTTCCTTTAATAGAGAGGCGAAGTCCCGCTCATCTACTTCCGACCCATGGGACCTTATTTCGGAAAAAGTATGTATTGAAGTCAATGGGGAGAGAAAGATTATGTTTCGATCCCGTTTGAATTGTGCCATGAATTACACATATGATGTTTGTCAATCTTAAAAAATAATTTCCATGTCAAAAAAGTCACAGTTTGTCGTAAAACTGTTGAAATATAAGACTATGACAAATACGCAACTAGAAAGACTACAAATCCCAGAATCCCGGTCCCGCATGCTGGCTCTTATGAACCGACTAACTCCCCTTGTGTGTATGTACAGCTCTCAACGTGCCCAGACTTGGAGTGATTTTCACCTCTTTTAATACTTTTCGCCTCATTCTGAAAGACTTGCAAAATTATCTTTTAAATTGACAAACATCATATGTGTAATTCGTGGCACAATTCAAACGGAATCGAAAGATAATCTTTCTCTCTCCATTGACTTCAATACATAATTTTTCCGAAATAAGGTCCCATGGAGGTCCCGCGGAAAGGGAGGGACTTCGCCTCTATGGATGTCATCAGAATGTTTTTTTGGAGAATTCTTGACTTTTAACAAATGTAATCATTTTGTTTGTCTTGCTGAAATGGCATGAAACCAACAAAACTAACAAATCAAAGCTGTCAATTCTCCTTTTATCATCATCTTTATAGTCAAACATCATTTGTATAGCACTATAATTCATTCGTTTAACTTGAATAACTGATATTTTGGGGTCTTTTGATTAATTATTTTTATATATGGGTATGTTGTTTTACTGCAGGTAGCATCTTTGATTGATTCTTCGTCATGCGACATTCTCCGTACTGTATAGATGGACAATAACATTTATGGTAACTGAAAATGTCAATTTCTGATGAACCTAAAGGGAATAGTTTAGTGTTTGTAATGCTGCTTCAGATCTCTTGTGATTGAATAACCAGCAGTTTTATTCAGAAATGTGAGGTTTCTTCACGTACATCTGTCAAATAGTCATGTGACAATGTACAGAGAATATAAATGATGAAAGAGAATTGTACACAAATATAAATAAATAATTTCTTAATGATGTAATCTCTTCTTATTCAATGCATTGCATCCCTCCATGAATCTCTTTTACCCTTTACATTAATGGACAGCCGGGGCGGACTGGGACTACAAATCAGCCCGGGACTCTCGACCAGCCCACCTCGGTACCGCAAGTAATTACCACTAGTAGTATATTGTCAATAGGGGGGGGTGCTAGTGACTTATCCGACCGGCCCACTTCAGTACCGACCGTCCCGATGGCCAGTCCGCCCCTGATGGACAGCCAAACTCATTTAATCTATGTTTCCTTGTGTGAAGTCATGTGACGAATGAACCTGCTGTAAACAAAGAAGCTCCCACCCTGATGAAGGAGAGTCAGCAGAAAACATGTGAGGGGTAAAGCATGGCATACTGGAGCTGTGCAACGTGTTTCATTTGATGGAGCTGTTTTGATTCTCTCTTAGAAACAGTCAGGAGTCACATTTACTTTTCTCCAACTCCACTGCAGCATTATAATATATACAAAGTAGATTCGAAACAAAAAAGAGGAATGCTTTACATACTTTCCTGGAAAACACACATGTATTCACTTTGATACTTTGTCTTGAGTTAGTTAAAACCTGCTGATCCAGTTGTTGATCAGCTGTGTGATTTAAAGCTGTAATAAAACAGCCTCATTAGTTAGCATACTTCCCACCTCTGGTCAATAATGATAGATCTTAATTTCAATAAGTTGTCAATATTTACTTATACATTCGGTGTATATGTTGTAAATGTATTATCTCTTCGATTTACACACATCTATTGCACGTCTGTCCGTCCTGGGAGAGGGATCCCTCCTCTGTTGCTCTCCCTGAGGTTTCTCCCATTTTCCGCTTAAACTGTGGGTTTTCTCTGGAAGTGTTTCCTTGTACGATGTGAGGGTCTAAGGACAGAGGGTCTAAGGATAGAGTGTCGTTTTTCTCATACTGATATTCTGAACAATCTGTGCTGTTGTATTTGCTGTAAAGTGTCTCTACTGTAGGCTATTTTTATTATATGTACAGCACTTTGGCTCGACCAAAAATCGTTTATAAATGTGCTATACAAATAAAACTTGATTTGATTTATAATATCTTGAGTATTATCATAAAAATAGCACCTTTATTTATTTTAACAAACCACGTTCTCCAAGTCAAATCTAATAGAAATCTATAATCTTTTTGAAAAATAGAGATCGCACATCAGTCCTGTGTACAGATCAGTTCGATAAAGTCATGCCTAAACAGCGACATTTTACACGATAAATACGGGTTAAATACGGTACCGTGTGTAGGTTGTCATGCTAGCTTGACATGCAGTAGCAAGCAGATGTGCACCTTGTCTTCATGCTAAATGGAAAATAAAGTGTGGAGTTCCATACTGAACACACCGCCTCTGACTCCCTTTCATCGGCTCTACAATATTTAATAATTATCCAAACCTTTAAAAAGAAATAGAAATAGATAGCTACAGTTTGACTTACTAAGTTACTAGTAAAAACAGTATAGGTTTTGTAGTATTAACACAACATCTCCTCTTGTCCAGGTGGGGCAGTAATGCGCCGTTAAGCTGTTCGTTCAACGTCGGATACTAAACGTGAGCGAAACTCAAACAAACCAGTTGCTGTTTACTTAGCTTTTACATACGCAACAAGGATTTATATTCCTTTCTTTTGTTTTGAAGAAAGTTAACGACTAGTGTGCAAAGTATAACATTGAAAACCGCCATTACTTAACGTCAATGAATAACCCAGTGAACTGTGTACAGAGAAGATAGTTGTCAGTGAGCTAGCATCAGGCTATCGTCTCCAAAGAGCAGGTTTAAAACGTCGACAAGCGGCAGGTGCAGAGCTCCTGTCCGGCCGAGCAAAGAGCCCCCAGCCCAGACCCGGCGTCATGGGCGGGCGGCGGGCCCCATGGGGCCGGGCCCGCCCATCCAGGATTTGGGCCCGCCCATCCATGATTTGGGCCCGCCCATCCAGGATTTGGGCCCGCCCATCCAGGATTTGGGCCCGCTGTTTTAATCAGGGCTGAATACAACATTTTAATTGTTTTATTATTATGTTCAGTGGCGGCGCCAAGGTATACTGGGGTAGGCTACAGCCATACCAAGAAATGGCTTAGCCCCACCATGAAAAATGATTTTAAAGTAAGCTAAATAAAGTCCACCAACTCGCGCGGAGTAAATTGTACAGACAGCAGTAAATACCGAAGACTAGAAACGGTTTGAAAACTTTTGTCACGTCGTGATCGTCTTCTCAATAGAACATCTTTGATAATGTCTTCTGGCCAATCAGAATCACGATAACGGCGTGGTGTTGTTGCAGGAAGTCCCGACGGAGAATACTTTTGCTGTAGTACATCTCTATCAGTGACGTGCGGTGACGTTCATGGCTGGTGAGGCACTGACTCTTTCAGGGTCAGATTTACAAATATTATATTTTGACCTTAATTGAAATGTTCGGTTATTTTCAAAAGCTTTTTTAGTCTGATGCTTCGATTCATTTTAAACAGACTGTTCCACAAAAGGATACCCCAAATCTAAATATTGGATTGTTCTTTCTTAGTAAGATCCCATGTTCATTTTACAATTGTGGTCTTACCTTGACTTGAAGATGAAGTCCATGATATCCTTCTGGACAACAATCTCCATTACATTTTTGTAAAAGTCCTCCTTATCTCCCTCTAGTTTCAAAACAAAAGTCTAGTTTGTTGTTACCGTCTCTGCGTAGAATAACAGTAGCAACAAGAACATGTGGGCTCACGTGCGCCCCCTTCAGTGCGGCAGAGGTTATGGCTGCCTCTCCAGGTGCTTTTTTCATTGCCGTTGTATGGTGAGACCAGCGAGCCTAAATATCATATACGTGAAATAAGTTATTTAGAGACTATGGATGGCGAGGATAAATGTAATAAAGGGATCTACAAACATTACATAGGTGACATACAGTGAGATGGTAACAGGCATGCGCTTAGGGCCCGCTTTCCAGCCAGTTTCTGTGGGGTGACGCATTTTGAGGTGACCTGACCCCACAGTAACTGGCTTGAGCGCGCTCACAAAATAAGTGCCCGCGCTACATTAGTGCCCGCACTCCAGCCATTTACTGTGGGCTTAGGTGAGCCAGAGCTCGTCCCTGCCTCACTCCTCTTCGCTCCCATAGTTGTAGCGGAGCTCGGCCAATTTGCTGATTTTCACTATAAAAAGCGATTGTAATCATACAGAAATCACAACACAGATCAGTGGAGACATTTTATTATTATTACTATTTCGTTTTTCTTTAGTTGTTTTTCCGTTACATTGGAGTATGACAGGTGAGGCTCTGCCTCCCCTGACTGCACGTCGCTGATCTCTATATACATCGATACAACATTACGTGTTGATAGAAATCAACACGTAATGAAATAAGACCCCACGGTTTGATGATTGATAGGTGTGTGGGTTGTCTTTCATTTTGACACACAGAACAATGGGGGCTATCCACCCTTATCCACAATGTAAAGTCATTCACACAGCCTCTTCTCTCTGTGAGGAGCAGCAGGTTCAGCTTTCAGAACAAAGTAACAGAAAACTAAAATGGCATTCATTTTTTAAATATGTCGTGTAGTAATAGATTTATTTATTTTTCTTCTCAAGAGAGTACCAGAATGTGTATTTTATGTTAGTATTTCCTGGGGGAGAATCCCCCCCCCAGATCCCCTTGCAGGGGTTGGGTTTTCAGCATGTCAACTCTTTCACCTGTGGGGAAATTGCAGGATTGGCTCCAGCTGGTCGTCCTTTTTATTTACTACAACACAAATGTGCCTTTTTATTTCATACAGTTCAATTTGGATTGAGACAGGGAAATAATCTAAACCTCACGCTTGGCGTTTCACTGTCAAGGGGAGCGTGTATGTAATTACATTGCAAATACTGACTTGAGCCCCACCACTGTATGGGTTAGCCCTACCATAGATTACCCAACAAAAACACTTTAAACTATGTTGAAAGATTAGTTTAATATAATTGTTTTTATTATGCTATGAAATTCTGAATGAAATTCTGAATGAAAGGCTGCGCGCGAGACTGGTTTTTCGCTGGGTTGAGTCGTGTGGGTTTTTGAGTGAGATGCGGCACAGCAGCCTGTCAGTTTACGCTTGCTAGGTTAGTTTGGCTATTATCATTTATATGTATCTGCAACAATGGATATCAGGAAGTGGTTCACACTTATACACTTGAAAGGAATATGGCAACTCAGCGCCAGATGCAGGCACATTAGAAGACATCAGTTACCAACGAGCTAGCAAGCCAGCCAGGGACAAGGGAGGCTGGCAATCAATTATATTTTGAAGAGAAATTGACTCTCAAGCCGGCTCTCACAAACTCCTGCTCTGTGCGCAAGCAGACCGCTGCACATGCTCTCTGCCTCGCTCAATCTCTCTCTCTCTCCCTTTCTCTCAATCGCTCAACCTTACTCACCTCTCCACCCTGTGTACAAGTTTGCCTGCATGCTTGCCCAAGTTGGCACAGCGTTACAAATGTGCCACAAAACCAACCAATGGATGTAGCCTATAATAAGACCGTCAACAGCCTTATGGCAACCTAAACCCCCCCCCACTTTGACAAATCTCGAGATTTCCCGGGAAATGTGAATTTCGGGGTGGGCCCGCCCTGGTAAATCAAATGCCCGCCCAGACACGTATGTCTGCCGCCGGGTCTGCCCCAGCCTCCGGACGAGTCAACAAGGTAAAGCCGAGAGGAACCATGCTGTGTTGGCGGTGGGAGCCTGGGTGGAGAGCGAGCACGACTTTATGGAGCACCCATCTGTGAGTTTGGCATTTAATGCCAATGAGCTAAGCTAGCTTGTACTGTTGCTAGGCTGTCGAAAGAGACCGTTGCTAAGCTAGCTTGTACTGTTGCTAGGCTGTCGAATGAGACCGTTA